GTCTCAAAACAGCTAAGTATGTAGTTTGCAGACAACTTGACCAACACGTATCAACCTATAATATACTTTACAAGTTATTAAATAGTTAACTATAATAACTAATATCTAGATCCTTCACTAATCCCAAAGAATACGTTAAGTTCTAGCTGATAACGAACCAACATGCAAGATCATATTAGAGGTAGGATCCGTTTGGTACACGGTGTATACTATTTGGAAAATCCACTTTAAATACCTCACTAGATCTAGCGTAAACATCACTCCCATAAGTAGATCAATCAGTATGATAACTGGAATTACAGATTAATCTTATGAATAGGTCCATAATAACGACTATGAAAATAAATATAAGTTAAAATTAAAGCATAGAAAGTATAAACTCAACTTATATTCTTTCTAGAGAAAGTTCGGGAAGTCACAAGTTGAACTTCGACTCTGAATACTTCTTTTCTTTGGGCTTTTCAATGCCACAACGATTCACTAAAATGATCGAGACTTAGAGGGTCGAATCCTGAGGGTTTGGGAGTGGTTTGATATATATATATATATATATATATATATATATATATATATATATATATATATATATATATATAGAGAGAGAGAGAGAGAGAGAGAGAGAGATTTGAAGAAAAATGATTAAGTAATGAAGGGGTGTTCGAGGCTCTATTTATAGGGATTCTAGATAGGGGGAGCGTTCCTGGGCACCAAGGGTTGATTCTCAGCCTAACACGTTTCCATTTATGGGTTGTGATACGTTGCTATACACGGTTAATTCCTGCAAACTTCGAAAAATCATATATTTCGCATATGAGATCCACTTTTGGCGTTCTTTATATCCCCGGTTTAGTATTGACAAGTACTACAACTTTCGTTTAAACACCGTTGGCTAATTCATATTTTAATTTTAATTTAGAGTCTATGAGAATTACACTGTAAAAGACCTTTTGAAATTCATAACTCCTTCATACGAGCTCTATTATCGATGTTCCCTATATCGACGGATTCCTATTTATGAGGACATCATCTTTCGTTTAAATTTTTTTAGATAACAATCAACCAATTTTATTTCGATTTCTGCATTGTATACTATTTTACCGTATCGACTAAAAACTTCTAAAAAGCATGACTTCTTCATACGAAGTGGGATTTAGTCGTTCTTTATACTCACGGTTTCGTATTAACATCTATTACATCTTTCATGATGATTATTTTGGCGAAAAATTTATATATTTCTACTTAAAGTTTTATAACAACGTTTTATATTAAAATTTACAGCAAAGCGAAAACATGTTGTTGCTACTCTCCCCTACATGCAAGGATTTCTTCCCTGAAATCTAACTAAATAACTCTAGGTAGTTGCTTCTCATCTATTCTTCTAATTCTCATGTCCATTCTGATCTATTCTGGTGTTGCCACGACACTTTTACCAACTCAATCACCTCGTTGCATAAGATCTTTGTCTTCTTATCTGACATTACAATTGGCCTTTCTACGTAGTTTATATGCTCATCCACATGGGTATCATATAGAGGTATAACTACCGATTCATCTACAATGCACTTCCTTAATTGAGAAACATGAAAAGTGTTGTGGATCTGGCAAACCTCTTCCGGCATATCCAAACAGTAGGCAACCTTGCCCACCCGGGAAATAACTCAAAAATGTCTGATATACATAGGGCCTAAATTTCCCTGTTTATGAAACCTGATGAGACCTTTCCATGGTGAAACCTTTAGCAACACTAGACCTCTAACCTGAAATCGGATCGGTGTCGATCTGCATAACTCTTTTCTGGACTTTGAGTTGTATGTAGTCTTTGTAACAACCATAAAATTCATGAAAATTTTAAACTTTTTGAAACAACCTAAAACCCATCATTGTTTACAAAATTGTTTTCCAAACATGTCAAATATCAAAGTTTGCCCAAAATCACAAAAACAAACACGAGGAGATGCACAATCAAGCCTTCGCCTTTCCACAATCCTCTGAAGTACCTAAACCACAACCCAAAACTATAAGCCCAACACTTAATGAGTTTCCCAAAATTACCACCATAACACATAATCATAAATATCACAGCAACAACATGCATACAGATGCTTCAGCATCTCTTGACCGCCGCACCGGGCCTTCATCCTATCTGGACCGTTCTCCAGGCCTTCGGCCTGATTGGTCCGCCTTATAGGCATTCAGTATCTCTGGGCCGCCTTTTGTCTCTTGGCCTTCAACACACAACATGACCGCCTCAACTCAACCCACCATCACATATCCACATATAAAATAATCAATCATAGCTAGCATATACAAGCAGTCATACAAATCTAACGGATCACTACAACAACGCACATCATATATACCAGGATACCAAAATAACATATCACTACAAAATAAAAAGCATATGATAAACCAGGATAACAATACAAGGGTTCGGCATTGGTTCCTTCAACCCGAGAGTATAGTGAGGACAACTCACCTCGCACAGCTGAAATCTATTGAAAGCCTCTACCTGTTGGCTCACGGAAGTCCCCGCATTATCACATCATAATAATCATCCAATTAATACTTGGATTACAATTCAAACAAACAGTCCATTGCTAGGGTAAATGTCGGATTTACCTCTTTATTTAGTTGGGCTAAGACCCATGCCCAAATCTTAATCCAAAAAGGCCCACTCACTAAATAACTATCCATGGCCTATAATTTACCTAATTTTTCAAATTGGCCCCAACTCCAACTTCGACGTTACCTCAAAGTCCAATCCTTCACTTGGCCAAAAACATCAATACTAGGATGACCAAAAAATGACTCAAGCATCTAAGCCCAAAAAGGTGGCCCAAGCGTACCCAGCTGTACGCTAAGCGTACTCGTACTGGGGCTTGTATGTTGCGCGTAATGGCTTGTACACCCAGTGTACTCCCCTGTTAATCCATTTGTCCCATTAAGCTCTTAATGTTTTAAGATAAGGCCCCAAAATGTAATTCTGACTTCCTTGAGTTGGCCTAGCATGTAAAGTTGCTAACTTTACGTGCATGCATCACTAAATGAGGCTATTAAGCTTATAAATGACTTAATAAATGGCTTAATGAATCAATAATGACTAATACCCCATAAAGCTGGCACATTTATGCCAAGGAAGCCTCTAACATGGTCATATCTAAAGAAATGATCCCTTCAAATCGACCCAAACCATCAATCCATGCAAATGGACTAAAAGTGTGCCAAAAATACCCATGAAGAAAACTAGACATTAACACTTCAAGGTTTGAACTTGATACCTTAGGAAGCTTGAAATGTGATGAAGGGTTCTACATCTCAAGTCTCCCACCAAGCTATGAACTTCACTTTCTTCTAGGTTCTTCAAAGATGGACCAAATAAACACAAAGTTCTCTGTAAGAGCTCTGAATTCAAGAATGGAGGCTAAGGGGATGTTTAGGGTTTTCTGGAGGTTTAGGGACAAGAAATGAGGCTAACCCTAAAGGTCAAGGATGAATATATAGGGTGAAACACCCTACTTTAGGGTTTTTAGAAGTCACGCGTACGCCCAACATACGCATCCGGTGTCCCAATCCATCCCTAGATACTACGCTAAGCATACCAAGTGGTACGCCCTGCGTAGTATTCCAAGGGCTAAAATGAAACATTGAATTAATGAAGGGAAAAACTGAAACATAGCAAGACCAAGGTGTTACAATTCCCATGTACATGCTGAATAAATTTGGTGGTAACACAAGGAACCAAATTGAAGGAAGGCAATCCAATGATCACCACCAAAAATCCACCCAAAATTAGAAACAACATCATATCATTAACTTCTACTACAAGTATGAAAGGCACTTGTGAACACTCTCTCACATTAAGGTTTGTTGGCTGCAAAGTAGAGTGTATTTCCCACATTTAAGGGTCAGGTTACAATTCAAGACTTCAAAGTATGAGAAAATGACTCCATGACCCTTATACATGATCAAGAATCATTTTCTTACACTTTGACCCACATAAATTAACCTTATCAAGCTAAAAGGTTAAATTAACAAAAGAACATAATGGAAACTAACCTCGATAACAAAACAAGACGTGTGGTTCATTACAACTTTAGCCACTGAAATAATTTAAAGTGTCGCATGGTTGTTTTGGAAAAAGTGTGACTGTAAGTCATTTTTGTATTAGTGATGTTTGTTTATGATTGGTTGTCGTACGACATTGTTTACTTATAACTATATTGTTCTAGTCTTGGTAAGAGAGAAACTTTTCTAATGAGAGTGTTTTCATCAGGAATACCACTCGAGTCGTACATTTTAATCTTTATCTTCAATTAATCAATGAGTTGAATTAATATTTACACTGTGATTGTAATCATGCAATCTATTTTATCATTATGTTCTTAATTCAACACTTTGTTCTTTAGACTGAAAAAACCAAGGCAATGCAAATTTTTAAAATTTTTATCGCACTCTTACTTATGGATGTTTGATATAAGTTTAAAGATGAAAGTGAAATATGTTGCTTGGTTGCAAAATCTAAAATTAGCTATTTCTTTTTAATATATATTTTTGTTTATCTAGTTTCTTGCTAGTCGATAAAATATTCCGGCCACTTATAATAAGTTAAATCTAAAAACCTCTCTTTATTTGAGAAAAATATAATGAATTTAATATAGCTAATTTGTATTTTAAGGTTTTATTATTGATAAACCTTTCAATCTTATAAATATACGATTCAATCATTATATATTACGGTAAAAGAAAATATTTCTATAACTTACATTTATTTATTAGAGAAATATATTTTAAGGTAACATTAATTATCTAACAAAATATAAAAAAATTAGAAACAATATAAAGTGATCACAACCACATGAATTTTAATAAAAAATTCTTGATGATGAATACCAATTTAAATCTTTCATTTTCATCAAAGAGTAAATGGGTTATTCAAAATTTTTGTTGATATATTGATTTCTCAATGTCCATAGTAACATCAAATATATATAAAAAAAAATCTAGTTCTTTATAATCTTTCTAGATATATTTTCTCTTGGTTTCCATTCATATTGTTTATACCACTTTTGGCTGCGAAAATCAAAGAAGTAGAATCCATCATTCTTAATCTCCCAATTACATGTATTTCCTTCACCAAAACCGTGATCACACCAAATAGACATCTTCAAGTTGAAAACATCAAACTTTTGTTCATCCATTTTTCTCCAGAAATGACAAAAATAAAGAGTGGATCCCCAAATATTTTCGTGAAAAGACCATCTATATTGAAGCTTGGCAGAATTAAGAACATGATATCCAAGATTTGTGTCCTTGGACTGACAATGAAGTGTTATATCTTCGTTAGGAATATCTGACTTAATGTTGACAGTAAAACCTTGTCCTCCATATGCAGTTCCTACATTAGCGTTACCACCATTGAATAATAGAAATATCAATAGTAAGAAATATGGATTCTTCATTCTGTATACCTCAATAATAATGAAATAATATATATATATATATATATATATATATATATATATATATAATATAGACATAAAGATATATGCATGTAATATTATATATATATATATATATATATATATATATATATATATATATATATATATATATAATATAGACATAAAGATATATGCATGTAATATTATATATATATATATATATATATATATATATATATATATATATATATATATATATAATATAGACATAAAGATATATGCATGTAATATTATCATCATAATCTTGAATATATATATATATATATATATATATATATATATATATATATATATATATATATAGAGAGAGAGAGAGAGAGAGAGAGAGCTAATTCAAATATTTTTAGCAACTATTGTGTTCCTAAATGCACCAATCAGAAATTAGAAAATAATTAAATAATTAACTAAATCAAAAAGTGTATTTCTTGTTTTTTACACTTTCAATTAATAGGATCATTAATCAAATCCCTACAATTAAAGAACAAATTAAATATGTTGACCTAATCTCTCTTTTTTTTTATAGCCAATGACATCTATTTCCACACTTCTTCATCTAAACACCGCCAATTATAAAACGGAACTATCTTCTTCACAATCGGTCACTGCCGGGAAAAAGGAGGGTCGAAGCTAGCACTCTTCCGACCGTGCAACCTCAGGAATTAAACATTGATGCAGCCAGATATCTAATCTTACTCCTATATTCTACTAAATTCAATCCAAAATCGACACTAATTAGTCAAATCTTCAAACTTTGGTTGTTCTGATTATTAAAGAAAATTGCATTCTAACTGCCACCGTGATCCGACAGCCGACGAGTTCTCTGCGGGATTCGGTAGTTTACTGTTTTTTCTCCTCTACTCATAAGCAAATCGATTTAGTGGTAATTTTGAATATGGTTTAAACCCCAATGTTTGGGTTCTTAATGGTAATATTATTTATGTGATCTACAGTTGTTATTAAGTGTATAGATGAATGGTATTAATTTGGGTCTAATTACAAATAGTTGTGTCTGATCAAGGGAGAGTGGTCGCTGAGGCGGGAACCATAATTTGAATTTCATTATGCCTTGAGATCGGTAAACTGAACCACAATTAACTGCGGTTGTCAAATTAATATCTTCAGGGTTTAATATTGTGTCCAATTTAGAGGAACCTGATGGCACTGTTTCAAAATGTATGAAATATTGTGTCATATGAGAATTGTTGGTTTCTTTAGTTTCTTAATCTTTTATATGTAGTGAATCTGCAGTTTAAGACCTGATCTAGTGAATAGTTAGCAGGATGAAAAAGTTAATTAGCAGTAGAACTAAATCAAATGATGAACGAAAGCATGTTTGATTTTGATTGTTAGTATGTTACAATTATCATCTTGCTCTTTAATCTGATAAATTACATTGACGCTAGGAAAGTTAATATGGGAATATAAAGTGTCAATTGGCATTCAGTTTTAGATTGTGACCAATGGGTTACCCTGCCAGTAGTTGGGCAGCGACCATCAGCCCACTATAAGGTTCCCTCATATCTTAGTCATACAATAATTCTTAATTCACTCTTCTTATCTTTTCATGTTCCCTGTTATACAATCACTTGTATGTTCTTCTAATGCCATCTTTTCTTTCATTCTAGCATGCTGCAGTTGTTGCTAATGAAAAGTTATACATTGTTTGTGGAAGCCTTAATGGGCGATACTTATTTGATGTTCAGGTATCATTATTGTTTAAAACCAATAGTTTCAAACAAACAATATGTTACATCCCCACTCCCAGGTATTGCATTTATTTATTTACTTATTTTCAGATTTAATGATTGACTCAACGAGTTGTGTGTCCGACTCGTCGAGTAGAGTTAGATTAGTCGCGTGGGTATAAGGACCAACTCGACGAGTCAGAGAGCCGAATCATCGAGTTGGTTCTGTGTAAGGAAACCCTAAATCCCCGAGTTTGGGCCTATTTAAGGAAAATTATTTCCTCATTTCCACCTCACCAGTTGCCTAACTCCCTTGTGTGAAACCCTAATCGGCCATTGAGCTAAGAGAGAATGATAGAGCTAATATTTGAGTGTTTTGGTGAATCATTTAAAAGGGAAGAAGTTAAATACAAGCAAGGAACAAGGAGAGGCTATGGGATCCAACATTCTTTTCACTTGGAGCTTTCATTGAAAGGTAAAACCCATCACCTTGCTTATCATGTTGTTTAGATCTAGCTAATGAGGAACTTTTGGGGCTTTTCCCATATTTCCTTGAGATTTGGTATGACTTGTGTGTGCTAAGCATAGAGACATCATATCTAGACTTTGTGAGGTCCATAGAGTCTAAAGGTCCCAGCTTTATCCAGCCATAAAAGAGTTATTGTGCTTAAACACCTTAGTTAGAGCTTGTAGTGACATTATGGAGCAAATATGCCATGCATGAACGTAAAGAACGGACTTTACATAACATTCGAACCTTGGGAGGCTAGATTTAGAGTTTGGAGTGATAGATCTGTCTTAAAACGTCTGAATGAAAGTTTGACTTAAGGGACTCGACGAGTCAATGAGCTAACTCGACAAGTCGGCTAGGGTTTTTCCCCAATAAGTCTAGACAACGGTGACTCGGTGAGTTAATGGGACAACTCGATGAGTTAAGTTGGGTTTTTGCGACATTCTGAGGAACAATGGGGACTCAGCAAGTCACATAGGTGCACTCAACGACTTGAGTCAACATGGACTGTTGACTCGAGTTTGACTTATGTTGAATTTAGGGTTTGGGCAATCATAAGTCATGGTGACCATGGAGGGGTAAAATGCTATTTTTCCTAATCCAAGAGTTAGAGATGGAATAACTTAGTTCGAATTTATGATTTAAGTGTTAATTAGAGATAATTATCATATGTGAATAGGCGGAGGCTAGGATCGGTGATTCGTGTTTGAGGAGTACTCATTTCCTTAACTTTCGTACGACGTGAGTCTTCTCACTATACTTACCATGAGTGGTGACTTTGTGTGACCGGAAGGTCTTGTATGCTTGTTCTGATTATTGTGATATCCTGCATTATGCCGTGTGATTGTGCTGTGTAATATTATTATGAGCTTTACTGAGTTAGGACCAGAGGATCCATCCAAGTTGTAGGACCAGAGGGTCTCCACTGAGACACATGATCGGAGGGTCTTGTTTGAGATATGTGCCGTATTTTTGGGAACTCACTAAGCTTCGTGCTTACTGTGTTATGTGTTTCATGTAACGACCGAAAAATTCCAACAGATTTAAACTTTTCGAAAACAACCCGATTTCATTAAATTATTATAAAAAGGTTTTCAATACATTTATTATCAGAGTATTCCCATAACCATAACATAAAACATAAACACGAGGAGTGGTACGATCACGCCTTCGCCTTGCCACGGTCTCCTGAAGAACCTGAAAAAAATATTAAACCACAATTGTAAGCCCGAAAGCTTAGTGAGATACCCCCAGAATACCAACCACATATACCATACATGTATAACATGTCATATCATAATCGATCACAGAACAGCCATGCATATCGGGTCTATTGTGTGACTAGTTTGCCGTATCGGGCCTTCAGTCCACCGGGTCCATCCTCCGAGTCTAGTCATGTCCCTCGAGTCTGCAGTGTGGTTGGTCCTCTCGCACCGGACCTTCAACCCACCTGGTCCACTCTCTGAGTCTACAGTATAACTGGTCTGCCCGCATCGGGCCTTCAGTCTGTCTGGTCCACTCTCCGAGCCTCGACACATCTGGTCCACCCTTGTGGGGCCTATAGCCTATCCGGACCGCTCGCTGGGCCTTCAGAATAACCGGTCCGCCCTGGGTATGTTGGCCTACAGCACAAAGTAGGTCCCAACTCAACCCAAATCCAGTCTAAATAACCACGTGCACATAAACATACAATCATATAACATTTCACATTCAACAAGTCGATCAAACAGATGACATAACATATCATCATCATCCTAACTAGGATACCGACCTAACTAGTCACTAGCATAGCATCACCCTACATATCAGGATACCGATCTTAACCAGGTCTCTAACATATACCCTCCTTGGTACGCGGGGCGTACATGCTGATTCGCAGTTGGGGATCGGGGCACTTATTCTCTACACGAGGCGTACTCAAAGGTTACGCGTAACCTTGTGGCTCAACAAAATCATATAATGACTTAATGGTTTAAGCTCTTAAGCCCAAACTTCAGATCCTTAGGCCAAATATGCCTACATATCTCACACATGGAACAACCACAGCCCTTGGGACCTCATTTTTCTCACTCAAGACCTCTCCTAAGGTCTGAAAGGACAGATAATCTTGGCCAATTCGAAATATGCAATAAGATGAGGACTTTTGGAACAAGAATGATGTTAAAGCTTCACAATACATAGATCTACACAATATGAATGTCAAGAAAGAAGATTTATACCATAAGAGTCTTTAATATCTCTTTAATCAGAACGAATTGAATATGAGGCAACGAAAGTTGCTAGAGTTACTTAAGGACTACGACTGTAAGATACTTTACTACCCTAGTACAACAAATGTTGTCGTTGATGCTCTCAATCGGAAAGTCAATCTTGAGAGAAAGAGGCCAAGAGTGTTGAGAATAGAATTTGTCTCGATAATTGTGGAGAGTATAAAGAAAGCTCAAGAAGAAGATTTAGAGAAGAATAACCAAAGGAAGAACCTTTGGGTAAAATGTTAGTGTTCGGTATAAACGGTCACGGACTGAAGGTGTACCAAGATCAGATTTGGGTACCTAAGTCTGGAGGAATAAGAGATCCTCTGATGGAAGAAGCTCATAAAACCATGTACTCAATTCATCCTGGCAGCACTAAAATGTATAGGGATCTAAACACCTATTACTGGTGGCCGATGATGAAGCTTGATGTAGCAAAGTATGTGGCCGAGTTTGTGACCTGTGTGAGGGTTAAGACATAACATCAGAAACCATATGGGAGCTTAGAAC